GGTCCTGACTGAGAGCAGTTTTGCAGAGAAAACTGTACACTTGCTATTTTCTGTTATTTGCACCTTGATTTTGTACCTTGGGCTTTCTGATTTTTCACTACAGTTCCACTTACAGCGTGTATTCTCTTCTCTTTGTAGTTAAATCTAAGATTTTAGATTTTTTTCCTATCTTACTCACTTAACAAGATAAAAAGAAAACCTCCAAATAATCCAACTTGCGCCACACAAATGGACAAACAGAAATGTACAGAACATGATTAGCAGATGGCTTTGTCAACTGCCTCTGCTTTCATGTGAGCCTGCCTGAGTAATCAAAATGTGTAAACTGAGATCAATTAGTACACCATTTCCCACTGTGCTGAGTTCCCACTTTGTAATCTTCACTCCTCAATTAGTTATCCTTCCCTAATTAAACACAGCTACAAGATGCAGAATCCTCCCTAACATATCGCTTAATTTTAATCGTTATGATTAAAAAGATCTTAATATCACCAAAGTGGAAGCGTGGACTCAAGAGAACCCCAGAAGCTATAAATAATCAGGATGGTTAATGCACTTCTGCTATAAACTACATAAAAAGAAAATGATGTGCAGGCATAAGCAGCACTGGGAACCTGGTGATCTCTTTGAAACAGCACTTGTCAGTGGAGGCAGACAAGGCAGAAGCCTGCTACCCTAGACAAATAAATTTCAGTGGTACATGGTTTATGTACCAAAGAATATACTTACAATGGAATAAGTGTTGCTCAGCTTTACAGATGTCAATCTGGTCAAGTCTTTCTAGTCATCTTGTTAAAAATCAAACACACTTCACATAACTTTTTTATTAGCAAGGAATTTTATGTGCTGTCACATTACTCTTTCACCAAATTTGTTTACTTTTCTCGGCAGGTTTCTACAGAGCAGGCTAGTACTGATCAGTGTAATCTAACCCTGGAACACAATGTGTTAAATAATTCTCATCATCAATTCTATCATGAAACTGATGTGAAAAAATTAATACATATGCAGCATAAGAGCTGGTTAAAGAAAGCCTCTGGAATTCTAGAGTTCACATGCTTAATCCTATAACTAGGCTGCCTCTGTTTAATTATACAAGCTTACCATGCAAATGATTTTATTTGCTAAGTGTAATTGAAAGATAAAAGTACTTCAGAGCTCTAGAACTCCATTTCAAAATCAACAGTTCATATTAAATAGAAAAGAACCCTCAACATCTCGAAGCAGACCTGGTGACTGATGTTTGTAAGCCTACAGAATATTTAAGGCAAGCTAAATAGCAAGGCACTATTTTTTCCCTTCCCTTTGCTCTGCCCTGAATGCATTTGGTATGCCATGTTTTCCTTTCTTATTTTATAGCTTCTGCATTCACATACTCCTGCTACATTCCAGACTCTTCCTTAAAACGTTATTCCTACTGGCATGTTCAAGGAATTCCAGCCTGCAGATTCTGCTCTGCACTTACAGTACCCAAAGAATGTGTACAGAAAGATGAGCTAGAAGAATGTTTTACTAAAAGAAACTTTCTGCCAAGAGTATTGGATCCTGTGTCCCTCTAATAAACAATGTGCAGTGCCTGAATTTCATTTGGGTAAGGGATTAAAAGTGCTGCTCATAGTAATATCTTAAGAGAGCAAAGTGTTTTTTGCCATCAGTAATACAATACTAACAGAACACTGAATTTTCTTTGGTCAGTAGGACTTCAGATGATAGAGGTGGGATCCTGGGTTTGTGTCCATGGTCACACACCATTGTGGTGAGGCTGTAAGTGCCAGGCCACGTTCAGGAGCAGGAAGTGGCTTGCCTCAACACCTAAATCATCTTTTCATGTTGGGGTCTAAAGCCCAGGCATTTCATTGCCTCTACAAGGACAAGAGTAAGGGCAGGTCCCACCCACAGTAGGGTGGAGTTCTCCTCCACGCTGTCCAACCAGACCACACGGCAAAAGTCTCCACAATAAGAAAACAGATCAGCAATTTGAATTAATTACTCACGATGCGAGTTCTTCATGAGAATGGCATTCCTTCTACTACTGGTAAATACAGCACTTCTGACAGAACTACACCAAAGCAAAGAATTGTAAACGGAACAACTAGGACACAGAAACAAGAAAAGTTAATGCTATTTATGATGTCTTACATTTCACTGGTGGGGACAACTGCAAACCTGACTAATGCATCCTAACAGTCATTATTCAGGATGTAACAAACACAGATTCAATGCACATTAATCCCAGCAGACATGCTTCAAGAAAGGAAACTTAAGACAAAGGGGGTCCTACAGAGGTGACGCTCTGCTCTTGCCACAAAGCTCTGAGTTGTGACCAGACCTCAACAAGTGTCACACAGTTTTAGAACCATCTCTGGACACAAAAGAATTGAGCATGAGGGACAGGAAGAAGCGTCTGTGAATGTTACTCAGGAATAAAGCAATTCTGATTCAGCAAAGTGAAGATGCAAAGTCATGCTGCTCTCTAGAGCCTACCAGACTTAGCCCCTCAGAAGGCCGCAGAAAGCAAGACAAATGAGAACAAAAAAATGCCTGCTTTGAAGCCACAACAACTCAAGTATGAAAAGACTTAAGGAGATAAAAAGCACAATAGATGAATACAGATGGTGCAGGCAGAGTAACAGCAAGAAGCAATGAGGAGCAGTTTTCATATATTAGTAAGTTAATCACAATCAAGTTTTTGCAGCATTTTAGAGAGGGTTTCAGGGGAGGAAAATGAGTTAACATTACAGATGTTCATGTTCAGGACATGCAGCTTATGTTTGAGATGACACAGATGAAGGAGTCAAACGTAGGTTGATTCCCTGTCAAATGTGAGGCTACAAACCCCTTTAACAGCAATGCTCTGAAGAGATACAAAACAGGCCAGATTACAAAGCCAAGGAAATGATGCTGCAGTAACCAAGATGCAAAATCAGCGACAGCTCTGATGAAAGCTCAGCAGTATGTATGGAGAGGAAAAGCTGTCATGCTGACCGAACCAGCAGGATATTGATAGGCTGGATGGAAAGAAAGAGGAGGAGCTGTGAGCTGAAGGGAACACCCAGATTACTCAATCAGATGAGACATCAGCACAGCAGCTGGAAGGGGACATCGCAGGAGCACTTGGACAGATTAAGAGTTCCAGGCTAGTAATGTTTTGTTTAAGGCAAGACAATGAGATGTCAGAGGTGCAACGAGATTCTAGCTGATGGATGTTGAGTGCAGAAGCAGATCTACAACACTTCTTACTTGACTTCATTAATTCCATGCAATATTTAGCTTTGCCTAGACAACTATTTAACAATCCCAAAAAGGCTGAGCTTTACATTGTGAACCAATGACTGAAGCCATCAGTATTTTTGTTCTCCTAGCACTACATCACTTGCTACAGATTACTCACTTCCACAACTCATTAACACTTCCCACTAGTTAACTCAGCTTAGACTACTGCTTGTATGTCAGTGTATTTCCAGTAGCAAAGTTTCTGCCACTGCCTTTTCACACTTCACTTGATGTCCCAATTACTCTTAGGACAAGCTCTCATTTTCAAGATGTTTGCATGTTCCAACAGCTAGCAACAAGAGCTGCAACTTCTGATCCATCTGTACATACTGGTTTGAGGAACGTGTTGGATCCAGCCATAGGAATCTGAAAGACTGAATGGCAATACAGAATTCTCCGTGTTCTGCACTTCTTTCTTCATCCCCATTACTTTGAAAAGATCAACCATGTGTCAAATAAACATCAATTACTTCCCTAAACTCCTGTTTTCCTGCAATTGATCACACACCCCGAGTTAAAAGCCTTGCCAGTCCTTGCTGTTTATCAAGCTTGCCCATAGAAGTACAACAATCACAGACACAACCACAGACACAGACACTAATTAACGACATTCCATTGTGCCACAAATGAGAAATGCCAAGAGATCTACTTTACCCTGCCCTGCTCCTTACACAGCTCCCAGTTCACGAGCACACATGCACACAGACAGCAGGCAGACAACAATATACAGAGATAATGAATGGGTCTCTAGTGTTTCAGATTTACCTACAACCGTGTCCTTCCATCAGAACTTTAAGTGTTTTGCTTCTGGCACTAGCATTAGCAATCCCACAATAAAGACTGTTAAGAAAAACGTTGCTCAACATTAGAGATAGTTAGAAACAGAGTTATTAAAAGCTGGGTGCTTCCCAGGAGCACTCTGCAAATTGCCCATGAACTACTAGAGGTATTTTACATAATGTGCATCACATTGCTGCTGCCAATGGGTTACGCAAGTCTCTGACCAAAATAGATAGAAATCAAAACAGAAAATGAATATCCTGATGAAAAGAAGAATGTGTACATCTCGTGTTAAAGACACAAACTGAATTTGAAATAAAGGACATGCATATGGAAAGTGCACATATTTGGGGAGGTTTTGGTTTTTTTTAAAGAGTTAAAATGCAGATAAATCTCTTACTGGTGAAAATAACATTTGAATTTAGTTTTACATCCAGACTATCCGGTTCACAATCCTTTCATTCCTACTGTGGGAAAATGGGAACTGGGAAAAAAGTCCCACTGAGGAGGCTCTTTGCTGTCCCTCCTCTTCCTTATTCTTCATTTTTATTTTACTTTAAAAGTCTGTGATGACCTAAAGAAAATAATAAAACCAAACTGTGTGCAGTACTTTAAAATCAGCTTTCCCTTGGGTCTCAAAACTTCATCTCTTTCATGTGCACCAAATTCAGCAG